AGCAGACGCAAGAGTCTCTGTCTCTCTCTCTTTCTCTCTCTCTCTCTCTCTCTCTCTCTCTCTCTCTCTTTCTTCCCCTCCTCTCTCTCTCACCTTTTCAAATACATAAATAAACATATTTTAAAAAGTGGTTGAGAATGATGGACCCATCCTCAGGAGTTCACATAAATGAATCTTTCGTCAGGTAGAAGGGTGGGACAGGGTAGCCAACCTACCTAAACCAAATGCGATAGATTTGCATGGGAGCCTGAGGAGAAGCCCTGAAATGTAGAGGTCAGGGGTGGTGAGGGGCCAGCTGGGAAGAACTGCTAGACAGTTTCAGAAAGAACTGTTCCGCTGCCCCTTGTGAAACAAGTGCCTGTATCATTCCAAAGTCTTCAGAGAAAGAGCACAGTATAAGGTGAGGCACTATCCATGTGAAACAAGTGGAAGCTCATGGAAGTGTTCGCACAACTCTAGAGTCAGAACAGGAGCTGGGAGAAGGTAAGGCAGGCACAAGAGGTGTCCAGGGACCACAGCATATGTGAGCTGTAACCCAAAATACTGGGACATTCTCTTGGCTCTGTCCACTGCCTCCTTCACCTGTTCATGGACTGAATGAGACAGGAGTTCCCAAGAGAGGCCAGAGCCCACAGGATCCAGGTGTGGATGAGGGGAAAGGAGTGCACCACAGGCTTCCCCAACAAGCTTTCCATCTAGGCCTCCAGTCTTAGGGCACCAGGGGAGCGTTGTGGGTCTCTTCTCCCCACCAGGGGGCAGCTGACAACCTCTTCCTCTAGACACTTTCCGGAACAAATTCCCAAGGATGTAATCACCATGGCCATCTGGCTGTACATGGGAGATACAGCCTACCTTCTGTGTGGGTGAGTTACACATCTGTGAATTGAAACAACCATGGGAGGAAATATTATATATATATATATATATATATATATATATATATATATATATCTGCTGAACATATCCAGGCTCCTTCTGTTGTCATTGTCCCCCAAACACTACAATATAACAAAATTACTGACATTGCATTTACATTGTGTTATATATTATAAGTAACCTAAAGATTTCAAGTTTATGGGAGAACTCTACAGGTTATACACAAACACTACACTATTTTTTATGAGGAACTCAAGCATCCACGGATTTTGGTATCCACAGAGGTCATGGAACCAACCCCACACAGATAAGACGGACTGGGATGTCTGTACTTTGTTTCATTAGCAAATGTCTCAACTCCCCCTTAGGGGGCTGTGCCCAGCCATCATGCACAGCCTCTCTAGATGGGTTACACTGGAGGGTAAGATTTTTTGACTGTGGCTAAGGGCTCCACACCATCAGAGCAATCTGTCACACCTGTTTGGAGCTATCTGGACCTAGTTCTGCCCTCTTCACTCAGTCACAGGAAAGGCAAGAAAGGAGGCAGCATTTCAGGAAGCTGCTGGACGGTGAGAGGCAGATATCCTGGGATGAGTCCTGCAGATAGACTCCCCAGGTCTCAGCTCTCCTGTCTGAAGAAATGGCTATGAACACACCCAAAGCCTCACTGGGCTGTCCAGTGGATTCTCTGGCAGAATGTGTGGCAACGAGGTTGGGAAAGACCAAAAGGTGACACAGGATTAAGAGGTAATGCAGGGTGAAGACGACGAGGTCAGTGATGATGGTGGAGGCTTGATACTCACAACTCCCTGTAAGAGCCCTGATTTTGCTGAGCACAGTGACGGTAGCTGTAGCAAAGTGTCACCACATGGACCACTCAGGAAACAGGGATTTATTCTCTGACAGTTCTGGAGCCTGATGTCTGGGTGCCAGCGAGTTGGTGTCTTCTACGGCATCTCTTATTCCCTGGCAGATGGCCTTTCTCTCGTGTCAGCACACCTCTTCCCTCTGTGTGTGTCTGTGTCTCACCTCCTCTTATAAGGACAGTCATCTTGGGTTAGAATCTACCATCACCTTTTTAGAGACTCTGCTTCCAAACCAAACCACATTCTGAGTTAATGCAGGTGAGGCATTCTGCACATGAGTTAGGGGGCATGGTGACACATGGCTCAACCCACACCTTTAGGATGTAAGGGGTACAAGCCGTTAGAAATGTGGACGGGAGCCGGAGCAACTATCCCAAGTACAAATGTCTACAGAGTCCAGAAAGACAGAAGAGCTGAGCAGAGCCGGCAGGGTGGGGAAGGGCTTCTCCTACTTGGAAGATGGAGGAACAGCTCAGCATACTCTGCCATGGCAGCAGGCAGACTCAGGGTGGCCAGTTTTTCTAATTTTTAAAAAAGATTTTATTTATTTATTTGAGAGGTATAGTTACAGACAGAGAGAGGAAGAGACAGAGAGAGAAGTCTTCCATCCACTGGTTCACTCCCCAGATGGCTGTAACAGCCAGAGTCAGGCCAATCCAAAGCCAGGATCCAGGAGCTTTTTCTGGGTCTCCCGCAAGAGTGCAGGAGTCCAAGCACTTGAGCCGTCTTCTGCTGCTTTCCCAGGCCATAGCAGAGAGCTGGATTGGAAGAGGAGCAGCCAGGACTTGAATTGGGGACTACATGGGATGCCAGCACTCCAGGCAGAAGTTTAGCTTACTATGCCACACTGCTGGCCCCTAGTTTTTCTAATTTTTAAAGATAAACCAAAAGTCTGGTTTCTCTGGTGGACTCTCCTGAGTTGTTCAGTCTGGCACTGAATTTAAATGTTTTGAAAACACTGTGCAAGGTGTGTGTTTTCACCTGAGGACTGGATCTGACAGAGAGACCATCACCACTATGCCAGCTGCAAGGCTGCAGAGGCTCTAGCCGGGACTCAGACACACAGAAGGAGCCCCTTCTTGGGAAAGTGCCACCCAGGTTCAGATGTGTTTTTAAAGGCTGATTGTTAATGATCTGTAAAGGAAAGGAATAAAAGCCATTATGATCACTCTAAGAAAGCATCTCTAATTCATGGATCATTTACTATTGATTATCGAAACAAATGCTATTGTGCATGCCCTATAACTAGTTTTAAAACCTCTATATCTTTGGAGTTTTTAATTTATTTGGAAGCACTATAATAAGCAGCACATGACAATTACTTCCTTCAGTACTCCCTGTAATCAAGATAAATTATCTTGCTATTGATGTAAATGGGATATGAAAATCTATAGAGTTCTCCTGAGGAGTATAAACTCCACATTATGCTCACCACATTTGAAATTTGCAGCAAAATCATTTTGGGGTCAATCAAAAATGCATTTCCCCAAACTTTTATTGCCGCCCATCCTGAGTGACCTCCAGAAATAATTAGTAAACAATACCAGCGAGGAAGTGTTTAGCCTAGCGTGGGGCTGTATCCCTATTATTGTGGGTACCTGATAGAGCACTATATGCTCTCAGACCTATGGCATATTTAACACTCACAGGTGTTATTATAAATGTGTTTACATATTTTACATATTTATTTACAATTCCCTTCCCCTATTGCCAAACAACCTCTTAGGGAAATTAAACAATTAATCATATGCATTTTTGATAAGCAAAATAAACTCAATTTGCATTATTTTTCCTTCTCTCATTTCTGCCTCTTTTCCATTAAGTGCTTGCTTTTTGGTCAGCTCTTCTGCAGCCACTTTCTTTTCTGCCAGAAAAGGAGCTGCCCTGGGCACCTTCATGCTGGCGTCTGCTCTTTCTGTCCCTGAGACCCCACGCTTTCTCCAGAGGGGATCCTGCAGCCTTCCTTCCTGGGGACTCCCTCCAGTGCAGAACCTTCCAGCAATGTGGAAGCTCTTTTATGCACCTAAGCTCCCTTGCTGACTTTGCTATTTAATAATTGTTCTTGTATTCAGTATCTTCATTACAAAAGTTCTTTCTTGACATCAAGATAAGTATTAGGTTTGTCTCCCAGTCATATCTTTTCAAATTATTTTTTCCCAGACGCAATTCTCTTAATCTTGCTGTCTAAATGAGAGAGACAGAGAGGAGGAGGAGGAGGAGCAGCAGCAGCAGCAGCAGCAACAGCAAAGACTCCAATATATTCACGGTGGTTAGCACTGGGAGGTAGGATTATGGGTGAGATGGTTTATTGTTTGCTTTATGTTTTCAGCATTTTATGATCTGTCTATGACAAACATATACATTCTATTCCAGTTTCCCTAGAAAACAGAGCCTGTGGCAAAAGTTTACATGCTAAAGCTTTATTGAGGTATAGTCCCAGGAAACAAAGAGTGAGGCAGGCAAAGGAAAAACCAATCCCAGGTGGTGCGATTTGTGTGATTTGAAGCCGGCCACAACCTCACAACAAAACCCGGCAGACAGGAGCAGGTATGAGGCCTGGCAGTTAAGATGCAGACTGTGCTTCTGATCCCAGCCTTTCAGTGATGTGAACCCTTCGAGGCAGCAGGGGGACGGCTCAAGTGCTTGGGTCCCTGCCACCTCCATGGAGGCTCCGATTAAGTTCTGGGCTTCTGGCTAGGGCCTGGCCCAGCCCTGGTTGTTGCAGGCATCTGGGGAGTAAACCAGTGGATGAGAGCTCTCTTCCAAGTGAATAACATCAATAACGGTTTTAAACAGTTTATCTCTTGTCACTACAGACTTTTCCAGAGAGGCCACGGTGGAGTCATGTCTCTACAGTCAGCAGCAGGGGCACCAGCATGCTGACTCTCTGCCTGTACTGCTGCCTCCGCACCTTACAGATGAGAAACTGAGACTTGGAAGTGTGAAACGACCCCTGGAGGTTGGGATCATGTTTGAAGTAGTCGTGAATCCCCTTATTTCACCTAATAAAGGAAGCAATCATTTATGATAGATAGAGTAAAAACTGTGATAGAGTAAAAACTAATAAACCCTTGTAGATAGAGCACCAGGAGAGTCTCTTTTTTTTTTTTTTTTTTGAGTGTTAATTATTTTTTTTAACTTTTATTTAATGAATATAAATTTCCAAAGTATAGCTTGTGGATTACAATGGCTTCCCCCCCCCATAACGTCCCTCCCACCTGCTACCCTCCCTTTCCACTCCTCTCCCCTTCCATTCACATCAAGATTCATTTTCGATTCTCTTTATATACACAAGATCAGTTTAGCATACATTAAGTAAAGATTTCAACAGTTTGCTCCCACACAGAAACATAAAGTGAAAAATACTGTTTGAGTACTAGTTATAGCATTAAATCTCAATGTACAGCACACTAAGGACAAAGATCCTATGTGAGGAGTAAGTGCACAGTGACTCCTGTTGTTGACTTAACAAATTGACACTCTTGTTTATGGCATCAGTAATCAACCTAGGCTCTTGTCATGAGCTGCCAAGGCTATGGAAGCCCCCTGAGTTCACCGACTCTGATCATATTTAGACAAGGCCATGGTCAAAGTGGAAGTTCTCTCCTCCCTTCAGAGAAAGGTACCTCCTTCTTTGATGACCCATTCTTTCCACTGGGATCTCACGCGTGGAGATCTTTCATTTAGGTTTTTTTTTTTTTCCCCCAGAGTGTCTTGGCTTTCCATGCCTGAAATACTCTCATGGGCTTTTCAGCTGGATCCGCATGCCTTAAGGGCTGATTCTGAGGCCAGAGTGCTGTTTAGGACATCTGCCATTCTATGAGCCTGCTGTGTATCTCACTTCCCATGTTGGATCGTTCTCTCCCTTTTTTATTCTATCAGTTAGTATTTGCAGACACTATTCTTGTTTATGTAATCCCTTTGGCTCTTAGTCCTATCATTATGATCAATAGTGAACAGAAATTCATCACTGGGACTAGTGAGATGCCATTAGTACATGCCACCTTGATGGGATTGAATTGGAATCCCCTGGTATGTTTCTAACTCTACCGTTTGAGGTAAGTCAGCTTGAGCATGTCCCAAATTGCACATCTCTTCCCTCTCTTATGAGAGTCTTCTATTCTAATAGTCTTTGACCCCTGATGCCTGACACAGAGCTCCCAAATCCCCCTGGAATTTCCCAGGTGTCAGGAGCATCTTTGTTCTAATGAGATGACTCTTGGTGGGCTGGCTCCTGGACAGCCTCAGAATGGAGGCTTGTTGCCAAGGAAACAAACCATATGATTAAAGAGTTGAAAATTTCAGCCCTGCTCCCCTCCTCAACCGGTGAGGAGTGGAGAGGGGCTGAAGGTTGATTTGCTTACCAATGACCAATGATTTAATCAACCATGCTCGCTGTAGTAGTCCAGCTTGATATGATCATAGCCATGTTGGTCATAACCTCCTGCTTGCCCTTTAGGCAACATTGGAGTCATCCCAAACCCTACGGGATAAACAGCCATTAATTTAATCTGCCATTCTTCTATGACACCTGGAAGTCTCTCTTATAAATGTTAGTATTTCTTAAGAAAGTCCGGGTACATTCCATTTTGTTGGCCACAGGTCACCTTGTGTAGCTTAGCATAAAAAATATCCTTTCTCTTGCCTCTTGGTACAAGGATCCTCTCATCTTATGGCCTCCCAAAGTGTGGGTCTGTCCATAAGTCCCTCATATTGTACTATGTATAATCCTAGATTTGCCTGCCTGCCTCTTTCTTCATTCTCTACACCTTCTGACTTTGGCAGCTGGTTCTTGTATGGTACACGTAAGGAAGCCCTCCATGAAAACCCAGAATGGCAGTTGGGAGAGTCTGTGGCTTGCTGAACGTACAGTGGGACCCGGAGGGTGGCAGGTGTGGAGGGGGCGTGGGCTCACTGTGCTCCTTCCCACGTTCTTCATCCCATGCATGACTTCCCCTGGCTGTCATTTCTATCCTTTATTAACACTTCAATAAAATGAAATTTCTGAAAAATGAAATGAAAATTCTGAGTGCCATCCTAACAAATTCATCAAACCCAAGGAGGTACCAGCAAGGAAGGAGGAGAGGAGAAGTGAGGAAAAGTGGCAGTGGTGACAGCAGGGCTGTTGGCACCTCTGCACTGGGGGTCTTGGCAGAGAGTGCCAGAGGCTGAGCAGAGACTCCAGGCAGTGCTTCCTGCCTCACCCCCGCCCTCATCCACCAGGGAGCTTCCCTGTCCCTGTGGTTCTGCAAGTTGGCTTGGGTGATCCCAGCAGGCTTCGTGCTCTGTGTCCCTTAAGGACTGCTGTAAATGATGGCTTGGCTTTCCCCCATGAGAAGGAAGACGCTTCCTGAGGGGGTGGGGAGGCTGAGATTTAAAATCCACTACCCTTGCACTTCCCATACACAATGGCATTCAATGTCTTTCCAGGATATAGGAGAAACATTTGCTTAGATTTATTCTAAGCAATTTTGTTCAGATGCATGAGATGGAAAAAAAAGGAAAAGAAAATCAAATCAACATCAGTAATCAAGGAGACTAATAAGTAAATATATCAAACCCTCTTCCCATGGGTTTTTAATAAAGAAATGGCTGAGGTCCAAGCCCCAGCAACGCTGACAGAGCTTCCAACAGGCCATAGCAAAAGGAGTGAGGCAAAGCCCCATAGCACATCTCAAGAGACAATGGCACATGTCACTGGATGGTGACATTGTAGTCAAGTCCTCCTGACCCCAAATCTTATTTTTTCCAGTACCCTGGAGAGACTGAAACACAAAACTGGAAGTAGGAGATAACACACATGGTATGAGCAAAGTGCAATCCCAGGTCTGTTTTCCCTAAAAAGCTCTATTGCATTCCTTTACTTTTCTTCACCCCCATCTTAACTACCTGGAGGTGGGAAAATGGTATTCCAAACAAATCATTCAGTCTAATGAACAATTTTTCAGCTCACAGAGTCTCTCTGTAGTTGAAATATGGGCCCATATTTCAAAATGCTCACAACCCACTGATTAATTCAGGAGTGAAATTATCCATCATGATGTTATCATACCCAGCATGACCTAGGTCCTGTGCTAATCACCAGATAGGCACTTATTGAGCACCTGCTAGATACTGGGCAGCGTCCCTGGCATTTGTAATTGGCACACAAAAAATAGACTTCTAGTATTCTATTCTATTGGACTTCTATTGTTGGTCCATCAGGTACCAACAATCTCAGTATAGAGAGATAAGGCCACATAAACAAAATAAATTAGAGCCATGATTGTATTCCTGCATATCCAGTGGCTCAATTTCATGCTTCAGGCATGGCTGGATCTAGGCATGCAAACAATGTCACCAAGACACTTCTGCCCCACACATAAAAGCTCCTAAGCATAAAGTTCTCAGAGAAAGAAGCAGAGCCAAGAAAGAGAAGCAGCAAAGAGAAACTGGCAGGTGCTGGCTGGGACCTGTTCTGAGATACTGCAATGCTAGAGAAAAGAAAGAGCCCTTCCCTCCTTTGTGTCTGAGGCAACCCCCAGAATGAATTCTGTGTAGCTCTCTCTGCATCACCTTCCCGCACATTGATCACTGGGCAGGATTAAAGGCACCATGACTGCTAAGTCTAGATCCTGGTCCTACCCACAAAGGGGAAAAAGAAGCTGTCTGACTGACAGGTCCACCAAGATCACATGGAGATTTGGAGTGTGACAATCACAAAAGAAAAATCTTCTGGGCAGGCAAACACTATGACTTTATTGAGACTACAATGACTTTGAGAGTTGGAGACATCACTGTGAGTTGAAATTAGGTAACAGTGCAGAGTTCTGAAAATACATGCTACAGCCGACATGTTCGTAATCCCCACACTCCATGAGGAGCCCTCATGGATGGGACTAGTGTCCTTGTGAGAGACTCCAGGGAGCTCCCTCCTTGCTTTTGCCATATGAGGACACACCAAGAAGACAGCTGTCTCCCAAGCCTTGAGCTTGGGCTTCTCCACTCCAGAGCTGTGGGAATGAAATTGCCTTTTTTTTAATTTTTCAAAGTTTTTTAAATATTTGTTTTATTTTATTTGAAAAGCAAAATGAGGGAGGTGGGGAGGGGAGTTAGAGACAGAGAGATCTTCCATCTGCTGATTCACTTCTCAAATGGCGACAACAGCGAGGGCCAGGCTAGGCCCAAGCCAGGAATCAGGAACGCTACCCAGGTCTCCCACACTTGTGGCAGGGGTCCAAGCACTGGGGCCATCTTCCACTGCCTTCCCAGGTGCATGAGCTAGGAGCTGGACAGAGGCAGAGCATCCAGGAGTCTTGCTGGCACTCTGAAGTGGGGTGCCAGCATTGCAAGTGGTGGCCTGACCCACTGTACTACAATGTCAGTCCTGAAATTGCTGGTTTCTTTATAAGCCACCTAGTCTACGATATTCTGTTATAGCAGACACATGGACTAAGACTGTGGTAAAATCGAGTACAGTACTACATCTTTACTGTCTGTTACTAAACCTACTCTTTAGCTGTTCTGTTACTAAATATCAAAATCCAAAACCTCTAAGGGCAGCATGATCCACCCATGCCCTCCTCCCACCTTTATCTGTTTTTAAGATTTATTTTATTTATTTGAAAGGCAGAGTTACTGGGGGTGAGAGATGTGTGTGTGTGTGTATGTGCACACATGCGCATGCACCAATGCATGTGTGTGTGTGTGTGTGAGAGAGAGAGAGAGAGAGAGATCCTCCATCTGCTGTCTCACTCCCCAAATGGCCACAACCACCAGGGCTTGGCCAGGAGCCAGGAGCTTCATCTGGGTATCTCACATGGGTGCAGGCGCCCAAGGACTTGGAGCATCTTCTGCTGCTTTTCCCAGGTGCGTTAGCAGGGAATTGAATCAGAAGTAGGGCAGCCAAAACTCAAACTGGCATCCATATGGGACGAGTCACAAGCATCAGCTGCACCTGTTACACCACAACGCTGGGCCCCCAGTTTTATCTCTTGCCACCTGTTCCTCTGTTCCCATCATGGAGTTCACTTCTGTTTCTGGTATTTCCAACACTTAACCACAGTTGCATCTGCTGTTCCTCCTGCTTCCTTGTTTGTCTTATAGCTGACCCTGCTCCTCCTCAACTCCTGTCAAAAGTCACTCCCTTAGAGAGATTTTTCTTGTCCCATCATTGATTTTAAAAAGCCTGCTTTCCTCTCTCACACAATACTGTGGCCCCATCAGGGCAGGGGAAGTGTTGAATTGATTATTACAGTGTCCCTATTGTGCAGTCCTTACACACAGCACAAACTTGATCAATATTTTACTCAACAAATAGTCACTGAGCACTGACGGTGTGCCAAGCACCATGACCATTGTTTAAAATACATCAGCCACCAAAATAGCCTAGATTCCTGCTCTCAAGAACTTCAAGTATTTGTCAGATCAATGAAAGAACACACAAAGCAGAAACTCAGATGTGGGATAACTCAGCAGAAAGAAGGTGGAGAACATGTGAGGTGGGCAAAAGAACAACAGTGATGCCCCGGCAACACGGTGAGAATCGGCAAGATCCTGTCCTGGTGAGCCTGTCTCCAGCCCCGCTAGACGCCAGGCCAAACCTTGGTTTCCACAAGCTCACAGCCAGTGACCTCTGGTGTAAACTGGTGTGCAGGGGAGCTGAGCAAACACCCTTCCCCACACACACCTCTCAAGAGCACAAGGAGGGAACCAAGGGCCCTGTGAATGACACTCGGGAAAAGTCAAGTGCCATCCACCTGCTGAATCACACTTGACTTTTCACTAAAATCAAGACAATGACAAGATTGTTCCTGAACCTCTTCAGTGAGGCTTGATGGCCCTTGAGCCAAATTAATGCAGAACAGACCTGAGGTGAGGAGGGATGAGAAGGCTCCACGGAGTTCCCGGAAGAATTTCACTTCTCAACAGCCGTGTCACGGGCCTCCCAGGCAGCACTGAAACAAAGACCCACTCCATCTGATGGTTGACTTGTTTCTCACTTAGGTACTGAAAACATTCATTTTTAAAGGAACAGTAAACATTCAGCCAAAGCATTCTTTGACCACTTACCTCCCAGACCAATCCCTTCCCCCACACTTATTGCACAAATAAATATGCTTTCTCCCCCAGGTCTCTGTTTTAATTTTGGATTACCATGTATATGTAAGGGGAATTTGAGGATTTTAAGAGACACATGCCACCATATGCATGGCTTAAACCAATCATATCAGGCAACACAACCTTTCCATTTCCTTATCTTTTCTGTGTGCTCGGAGCCCACCAGCTTCTCTGCTCAGTTCTTTATGCAGGGTAGTACACATCAGCGTGAGCCATGGTCACCTCTCTCTGCTGCCAACATCAGAATGTTACACTCACCCTACTGTGCCTCTGTGCCATTACCCAACCTCTCCCTCCCTCTCCTCAACCCAACCCTTCCCAGCGTCACTGAAGTAATCACTATTGCACATTCAGATTGACTATATGCACTATTATCATCATTAACTTACACATAGAAGAGAGAGCATGTGGCATCTGTTCTTCTGCATCTGATTTATCTCATTTAATGGTCTCTGGTTCTATCCATTTTGCTGTAAATAAGATTTCATTCTATTTATAGCAGGATAATATTCTACTGTGTACACGTCCCACATTTTCCTTATCCACCCATCAACTGACAGATACCAGGTTGATTCTATACAGCTATTGTGAACAGTGCTGCAAATGAGCATGGGAGTGCAGGCATCTCATTCAGATGCTGAGTTCATTTCCTTCAGATGTGTACCCAGCAAAGGGAGACTATGGTGGATCTATTGTTGGTTTTTTTGAGGAACCACCATACTACTCTCATATGGCTGGGCTAATCTGCAGTCTCATCAACAATGTAGAAAGCTTCCGTTTCTCCACATCTTCACAGGCTTATTTTATTTTCTGTCTTCTCAATAATAGCCATTCTAACTGGCGTGAGATGACGCCTCATTGTGGTCTCAATTTGCATTTCTCTGGTGACTAGTGATATTGAGAAATTATTCATGTATTTGCATCTTTTTAATGTTTAAAATCCACTTTTTTTTTCATTTCATATGAAAAGGGAGAGAGAGAGACATATCACTCCTCAAATGCCCTCAACAGCCTGGACTGGGACAGGCTGACCCAGGAGCCCAGTCTTCAATCTGTATCTACCATGCGGATGACAGGAACTCACGTACGGCCTCAGGCACACATTAGCAGAAACGCGGATTAGAAGCCAAGCATCTGGGACATGAACCAAGGCCCTCCAATCTGGTATGGGGGCATCCCAAGTGGCAACTTAACTGCTGAAGCAAACACCTGTAAAGTATTTTCTCGTGTGTTCCTCAATCATTTGTGGTTCTTCTTCTAAGAAATGTCTGTTCAGATCCTTTGCCCATTTTTAACTGGATTGATTCTTATGCTGTTTTTAAGTTTCCTGAGTTCCTTATAACTACTCTTATTAAATTGTTTATCCCGTCTCAATTTTCTGTGTATTTACATACAGATGCATTTTTATTTGTTTTGTTTTCTATAAATGATTTCACATTGTGCTTGCAGTTTTTTAGCTTTTTTTTCTCTACATTATTTATTAGTAGGCATAAAGCTATGTAGGAGTACTTTTGTCAATTTGTCTTAGTAATACATAGCAACTTTATGTCATTATTTTTGAGCATTAAATTATTAGTAATTCTATTAGTAAACATTTCAATTGTTTCCAATTTTTTCACTATTTCAAATAATGCTGTGGTGAGCAGCCTTGTCCATCCTCCTACTCCAGGTTTTGGTGAATGTCTTTCTAGAGTAGATAGCTACAAACGAGATATCTGGTCAAACTGTTTCCATATTTATTTTCCTATATGAGGGTACTACAAAATGTTAGTAGAAAAAATGGGATTAAAAGTATGGATTTAGGCCGGCGCCGTGGCTCAATAGGCTAATCCTCCGCCTGAGGCACCGGCACCCTGGGTTCTAGTCCTAGTGTGAGCACCGGATTCTGTCCCGGTTGCTCCTCTTCCAGCCCAGCTCTCTGCTGTGGCAAGGGAGTGCAATGGAGGATGGCCCAGGTCCTTGGGCCCTGCACCGCATGGCAGACCGGGAGAAGCACCTGGTTCCTGGCTTCAGATCAGCGCAGTGCGCTGGCCTCAGCGCTCTGGCCGTGGTGGCCACTGGGGGATGAACCAACGGAAAAAGGAAGACCTTTCTCTCTGTCTCTCTCTCTCTCACTGTCCACTCTGCCTGTCAAAAAAAAAAAAAGTATGGATTTATTTTGGTGCCAAAAATTATGAAATCCTTGCATAATTTTCTCATAATATACATTTCCTACCTATTATGGAAAAAATGCTTTGTGCCAAAATAAACTCACACATTCACTTCTGTTTTTCCTGGAACTTTCTGGAACACTCTCCTGTGCCACCGCATTCTCCTCCATAGCAGCTGGATTTTCTCTCCCACAGCAGGGCACAAGTGAGTTCACTCCTCCTGTCACCGTGTATAGGGTCACTTTTTCCTCCAAATTTATTTGATTTTTTTTTAAACCCCAGCAGGTATAGTATGACCATCAACTGCAAGTGTGCCATTAGGAAAGCCAGAATGAGGAGAAACGATGGCCATGTAAGGGCATTCCTGCTGTGCGTAGTATAATTCCACTGTGTACACGTCCCGCATTTTCTTTATCCACCCATCAACTGACAGATACCAGGTTGATTCTATACAGCTATTGTGAACAGTGCTGCAAATGAGCATGGGAGTGCAGGCATCTCATTCAGATGCTGAGTTCACTTCCTTCAGATGTGTACCCAACAAAGGGAGACCATGGTGGATCTATTGTTAGTTTTTTTTGAGGAGCCACCACACTACTGTCAACATCCCCAGTTTTCTCTCGGGATCCACAGCACACTCGTGTAGGAGAGAAAGCATTGTCATGTGAGGTCCAGGGGTGAGAGGGTGGGAGGGAACCCACCTGAGAGCTGGAACTGGCTTCGGGCTCTGGAAGAGGCATGTGTCCTTCAGTGTGGCTTTCCAACAAGCATCCTCGCTTCTCATCTCCAGTTACCCTAAGACCTAAGCAAAACCGGAAAATGGCAAAAAACTCTAGCTCTGAGCCACTGGGGAAGCTGTTGACCATAGTAAACAAGGCTGAGCTTGGTCCTGTGTCTCCACCAAACACAGCCCAAGCAGTTTCAGAAGGGACTCTGCCCATTACAAGGAGTTGAATGAATCCCTCTCCCTACTGTCTAATAAACAAAGGAGAGCGGCCAGACGCACCTGAGCAAAAGATGATTGCATACAGAACAGAGCTGGGCTGTGCCAGGTGATGGTTTTCTGCACACACCCATGGAGGGCACTAAGTGCCTCCTGGACCTGCGGTTGACAGAGACCCATCCCGTGGTCAAGGGCTGCTCACTGAAATCACTCGGGTCATTTTATGAAATAGAGAGGCCAGGGTCCCAGCCCCAGAGATCCAGATTTCATTGGTCTGAATGTGGCCTGTGAGCAGGGATTTTTAAAAGCTCCCTCGGTGAGTTTTAAAGTACAGCTAAGGTTAAGACCACTGCCTTAGTGCAATTAGAGATGTAAAATCTGACCACACTCTGCAATGAGAAATAAGAGCCTTGAATGTGTCTCTTTTCTTGTACCATCTTATTATGAAGAAACTTCAAGAAAAGAAAGAAAGAGCTCTAGCATAAGAAGATGCACAAGTTAAAGGCAATGTGAGTCACAGGAGAAAATCATCAGAACTTGAACAGGACAGCCTGGCGAGGGTGACCCAAGCCAAGCCCACTGTCGCCATTGCTCCTCAGCGGGGGCTGCACCTGTTCGCTTCCCAGACATAATCGTATGCTACAGTTCTGAGGGAGGATTTAATGTTTACTTTAATCATTCTCAGGTAATTCCTTCTGTCTCAGCTGAGCTCAAGTTCAAGGAAGCTGAGGCTGACGTGAGCTCTAGAAGGAAGCAGGCTCCTCCTCTGTCCTCACGGGGAGTGGAGCCCTGCACAGCAGATGGCCATGCACTGGCTTGGAGGCATCTCTCCTCCAGCGCCTTGACTTCCAGCAGTGACTCAAGGATCCCAGCCCCCCATACCCAACCCGTGCCACCCCCACCTCCACCCCCACCATCACCATCACCATCACCATCACCTCCCTGTTTTCTGCTTTTCAGTGTGAGAACTGTCTGCCTCTGGCTGTGACGTCTGATTGCTTATCCAGACCTGGCTTCCAGCACTCCTACTGGGCTCTCAAATATCCTTTCAGTTGTAATCTTTCCTATTCCCAAATTGAAAGCCAGAGGAAGAGTCTCCCCACCCCCCTCTCTTGTGTTTCAGACCCATTTTCCAGATGCAGGCACCTGAAACATGGTTCCTGACACCTCGGGCTTTCTGCATAATCCATTCTTCCATCCCCACCCCTCCAAGCCTATGGACCGCAATGCTCTCTGATTAGCAGTGGTTTCCATTTGTTCAGATTACTACTTTAAACATTCAAAACAAAACCCAGATTCATATAGCATTGCTCTCGGAACTCTGACCCTCCAGGCTCAGGGACCAGAAGAGCGAGGTAAATCCCTCCCCGAAGGAACTCTCACCTCACAGTCTCAGAAAACTCAGGAGCCAGAGTCTGAGAAGCTGCCAGCTCAGCTCTTGATGTCTAAACTCGGCATCCAAATGTTCACTCTCTGAACTTGGGAACTGAAGAGGTTTTGATAGAAAGTGCCACGGTGTCTTATGCTAGTTATGCTGGAGCCAAAACGTCTGTCAACACAATTCCACAGTGGCTTCCTTACAGCAGCTCAGCAGGGACCCAACTCACACAGAGCATTTCCCAGAGAGAATTCTGAGCAATGCCAGTACCCCCGATCTATGCCAAGTGGCCAGAAAAGTTTGGATGGATTCTGGTGATAGATTCACCAGGCACATTGGCAAAGCCAGAATTAACAAACTTGGTGGGTTTCTTTGCTGCGATGCTTTCCTGAAAGAAATATATTTGGCTACACACGCTTTGTTCACATTTCTATTAACATCCTATGCAACCTGTGTCCTTCATAACACACTCCTGGAAATGCAGATGTGGGGCTTTTCACCAACACTCTGGTCTGACAGAAGCCTGTGATCACTACTAACCCATAAGCTACCTTAGTGCAAAGCAGAAAAAAAAATGCACCCTTTCCTCAAGACACATTTTGCCTTGGTCTGTTGGAACAGACCAATCTTGTATTAACACAGGTTTTGCTGGACTGAAGCACTTTTTGGAATTTAGATGGAGCTTTACTGCCATCTAGTGGAAGTTTATGAAATTTGCCACTCTGCAGTCTACAATGCTCAGTATAATCCAGCCTAGAAATATGCAAGTGACTCCCTCTCCCTGCATGGGACTCCCACTCAACAGGCCTGTGGAGGGGCCCAAGTAGCAAGATTTTCAACAAGCTCTGTAGGTGATTCTAAGGTGTATCTCTGAGTAAGAGAATTGATCCATGACATTTGTAAACACACAGGAAACCCACCGGGGAGGTCATTCCGAGCCTTCCAGAATCTGGAAGCCATAAATATTAAAAAAAAAAAAAATGTTTTTAAGGTTTCGACACAGATGAATTTTTAGGTATAGAAAACGGTTAGAGTTTTAAGGTCCCATTACCAAGCTCTGGGGTACATTCAAAGGAAAGTAGCCAGGCCTGGAGACAGGCAATTCTAGAAGTGTGTGGCACTTTCGCCCTTATTAACATGGCCTCACGCACCTGCCAGTTGGCCTGGACGGACAGCTTGGTGCTAAACCTAATGTGCCCCCATGTCCTTTCTGTAGATGGAGACAGCAGTCCCTGCCCTGTTCACCTCAAAGAAGTACTCTGAGGATTACTGAAGGTAGAATTGCATTATAAACTACCGTGTATGTAAGAGCTGATTTTGATTGCTCAAAAATGCTAATAAGTCCAGACTGATTGAAGATGACAAGGTCGCCTTGGTGTACAACCCTGTGAAATCCTTTCCTGTTGGCAAGTTGATTTAGTGAGCTTTGTTCCAGGAGATTCTGTAGGAAGAAAGATCCTTTTTCTTTTCCTACGGCCAGAGTCAACTGTCTAAAGCGTAAATCTCACTGTTTCTTGGCTCCTTCTCACCTGTCACGTCTCCATGGAATGTCAGCCCCACAAGAGCAGCCTCCCGGCCCCTCCTCCACCTGCAGCTGCACGCTTTCCCCACCCCCAACAGCTGGCTGTGCCTTTGCTTCAGGGTGCTCCCCACTACACCAAATCACTTCATTCATGTCCCTTTTATCTCTCTCCTCTCAAGAGCATGTGATCTCCCAGGAGGAAGATGGGGACAGGATTATCTTAGTAACTGCTCTTGCTAGAATGGGTGAGATCCGCACATGCAGGGTCCCTCGGGGCACTCAGATCCGTCCTCCTGTAGGAAGCTCATTTCAAATCACGGCGTCCCCTCTCGGAGTCCACAGAAGCCATCTACGAATGGAATGGCTCCACCTCATCCATCCCCAACAGCTGGGCCTTGCTGGGCCAGGAGCCAGAATGGGCTCAGGTTGGACCAGTGCAATTCTCTGTTCTGGGAATGTGGGACAGGGGTTGAGCACCAGCCAACACAATCCATGGCTTGAACAAAAGAGATCAGGAGTTAGGGAAGGCCCGTGTCTGTCCGTGTCCCTGCTGCAAATAGAGAGAGCCAGTTCTAGGAAAGAGAGAGGGAGAGAAAGAAAGGGGGAGTGGGGGAGGAAGCTAGGAGATTACAGAGTTCAAAGAGAAGTGTGTAGATTTCCCAAGCCCTGACATGAGGTTCTTGTGAGTCTTGGCTGCCGTGTGGTCCGTAAGGATCTGGGGTTGGGTTCTTTCCTGTTAATTTCCTTCTGTGCCTAAGCCAAATCAAAATGGCATGCCTTGCTTTAACCAAATGCACTCTCTCCAGGCCACACCTTCAAACAGATGAGAGGCCTCTGGTGGACAGGGCCTATTTTTCATTCTCCCTGGCATCCCCAGAGCCTGGCCCAGAGACGGGCATGGTGCAGATGCTCAGCAAACTTGAATGTGGATGCACGGACAGAGCTGGTCTCTTCACAGTCCTGTGCAGAGCTACTCACAACCTTCCAGTGCTGTGGGTGCCAGGTGTCCGACTATTGGACAAACCCATGGCCTTGCTTGGTTTTATTTTCAATTCTATTTTGACTTGAACAATTTTGGAAAAAGGAAAGGGTGGGAGCCAATATAGAAAAATGGAGAGATTTCACATAAAACTAGACATTGCCAGCTTGTCTTTTAAAAATCAGAATAGTTCACAGCATTCAGCTCCAAAAGCCCTTTCTGCTGGTCTCTGTGATGGTCCAGGAAGAAGCTATCTGTGCTCTCATTGGGAAAGCCAACAAAATTGGGGGCCCACAAGTGCCAAAGGGAAATACATACAATCAAAAGTTCTCCCTCTCTCTCTTCCTCTCCTCTCCTCTCCTCTCCTCCCCTCTCCTCTCCTCTCTTCTTCCCTCCCCTCCCCTCCCCTCCTCAACAAGAAAACCCTGCGTCCTCTCAGAAGCAAGTGCTGCAGGAGGGCCCTGCCAGCGTCCCCACTAGAAATGTCTCCAAGTTGCAACAGTTGCAGCCCCAGCTTCTGCAGCCTGCACTCACCCTGAAGCACACCTGCGTACAGCATTTTGGCCTTGCTCACCCTAGAAATCTAAGACAAATGGTGGTGTCAAAATTCTTGCAGTGCTCTGTGAGGACAACCCTGGCTTCCCCAGGCACTCCTGCCTCCCAGAAGCTGGGGTTTCCACCTGGCAGGTCCTTCTTCGAGCCCAGGGCAGGCAGACAAGCCTGTCAGATGCCCCCAGAGAGGGGCCTTGGCTTACCAAACCCAACAGTGGGTCCCTGAGATGCTGCTTATCCTAGGCCAGACGCCCCCCTGCCAGCAAAGCCTGAGACAGAAATCAGCGCCACCTGGAGGGAGGGCCTAGCAGGGGAACACGGAAGTGGCAGTGGCCAGGAGATAGCCCATCACCCCACTGGTGGCCATGAAGGCCCCAGGGCTCAGTTTCCCCTGGGAAAACCCTGGGACACTGTGGACCCTGCGCCAATTGTCCTCGGCATCCTGCTGGGGTGTTTGTCCTCCAAGCCTCATCCAACTTCGCTGAGGGCTGCACCAAGGCCTTCTGTTCCAATACCTCTGGCCCGTCCCACGCCTGAGCCCTCAGCAGAAGACGCTCCTGGAAGCTCAGGCAGGATACCGACAGAAGCCACTACCACTGCTCCATCCTGTGCCCTGTTCCAGTGCAGATTTGCCACTCCTGCAACCAGGGGGACAGTTGTGGGGAGACGAGTGAATGCGACTATTAAATCTCACAGGGCGGAAGTTAGGAGCAATTGTGTTTGCTGCTGCAACCATCTTTATTCTGATCCAAATGAGGCCAACTCCTGTGTATTTTTAAAAATCACCAAAGAGGTGGCTGTTGAGAATCGGGTTAAAACACCTTCACCCCACGGCGCAGCCTGGCTCCACCCCTGATTCCAGCTTCCTGCTAATGCACACCCTGAGAGGCAGCAGGTGGTGGCCTGGGTAGCTGGATCCGTGCCACCCACTTAGGGCCCCGCCTGGTCCATTCCTAGGCAGTGGCAGGCATTTGGGAAGTGAACCAGTGAACAGAACAGTGCGCGTGTCTCTCCCCTTTTCTCTCCTCCTTTCCCTCTCCCTCACACTCTCTCTCTCAAACAAAATAGATTTTACAATAATAAAATAGAAACCACCAGAGAAAAGCCTGACTCGGCGAGCTTCGCTCTGCCTAAAAAAAGCCCCAAGAACAGCGAGGCTGAAGTCTTGCCAGGGAGTCAACATTAACATAGGGAGAAGGGGACCTCGGACCCAGAGCCAGCAGCTTGCCCGGTGCCAGTGCCGGGGTCCCAGAGCAATGGCGCCTCCCTGGCTCCTCCCCACGGACCTCCCCCAGCCTTCCCCACAGTATTCATCTGCACTGTTCCTCCTTTGTGGGTTGTGGTTGTGGTCGCTAGAGGGGTTCCGGCCCTAAGGTCCTTCTCCACCCTTCACAGCCAGCAACATGTCAGGCGGGAGTCAGCCGCTCCCCAGTTGTCGGAGCAAAGGGACAACCCTGGGGCTGCCACAGAAAGGGCTCTTGGTTGCAGAGCCCAGCTAGCAGATTCCGATTCCAAACCCTGCCTGGGATTCCACTCCGAGGCCATGCGAACCACCTGCTCCTGCCTCGTGCAGGATAAAGTGCTGGGTGGGGCCGGGGGCCAGGAAAGCACACCCTCTGCTTGCAAGAAACTCCGCCAGGTGAGAAAGAGGAGCAAGTGACAGAATGCTTGCAGGGCAATGTGAACTGTGTGTTAATAACTCACTGGGAGGAATCCATAGGACATGGTTACCAGTGAGATGTGCAGGGTGTGGGAGACCCCAGCCCTCTAGCTTGGACGAAGAGGAGGGTGGGGGACTAGCAGAGGCAGGGAGCACAGGGCAGGGGTCTGTAGGAGCAGGGTGGAGGGGGGGGGTGGCAGGGGGAAATGTGGCTCTTTAGTCCCATTCATTCTTTCAACCCATCCATACCCTCTGTGTGCCAGGATATTTGTCTTTCCAGAGCTGACATTCTATGACAAGAAGATAGAAAATTTGAAAAGACACTAATAAGTAAGCAAGATGTTTTCACAGAGTATTAAGTACTTTGGTTTGGTTGTCTGTGGCAGAGACAGAGGGAGGGAGGGAGGGAGGGAGGGAGGGAGGGAGGGAGGGAGGGAGGGAGGGAGGAAGGGAGAAAAAATAAGGAATATCCTGGAAGCTGTAGATGCAGTGATGAATGGCAGGAGTTCTCACCACAGCTTTGAATGAGAATCACCTGGGAATGTGTTAGAACTACGCTCATGCCTAATGATTTATTAAATATAACACCAAAAACACAGCAATAAAAGAAAAACTTGATAAAACACTTCAGCAAAATTATGTTTTACACCTCAAAAGATTCCATCAAGAAAGTGAAAATACAAACTACAGAATGGAAGAAAACATTAGCAAGTCGTCTGATAACAGTTTTGTTTCCAGAATGTATAAAAAACTTACAATTCAGTAATAGAAAGGCAACCCAATTTAGAAATGAACAA